CAGTACCGACGTTAGTCCTAACCAGCTGCACTTGGGATGGAAGCCTAGATCTGCTCTAGACTTCCTCCTACCTGAAAACCGATCCTCTGCAACTCCAGGCACACTTGAGTATGGTGTGCAGTATGAGAAGTTGCTGCAGCAAGCTGTCGAGCACATCAAGAAAGCTCAGCAAGCAATGATTGCTTCTGAGAACAAGCATCGACGACAGTCCTCAATTCAGGTAGGGGAACGTGTCTGGGTCAAGGCTAGTGAACTAGGACAAGAATTCGGTATCTTTAGGAAACTAATGCCTCAGTACTTTAGTCCTTGGGAAGTCCTGGATGTAGTGGGGGATGAGATGGATGGTCCTACCTATGTTATCCGTATCCCTGCACACCTACGCACTCACCCTGTCTTTCATGCCTCAAAGCTTGCACCTTTCGCTGAGACTGATCAATTCCCTTCAAGGAGATCGATGCTTCCCCCAACCATGGATGGTCAAGTGGACATCGACGACATTGTGGATCACAGAGATCTGCCTGTTCAGAAGCCTTTGGGTAGAGGAAGACCTCGTAAGCCCAAGAGAGAATATCGCGTCAGATTCAGGAATCATACGGATCCAAAAGAAGATCGGTGGTTCACCAGAGAGGAACTGTTACGGACTCCGCCAGGGCTCGATCCCTGGTCTATCTTTTGCTGTTTCAGCTGCATCCCGTTTTCGGCCTGGCACCCTTTTTCCAAACCCCTCCTTTGGTACCGTAGGATTTTGGACAATTGGCGCCATGCTGCAATTCGGGTGCCACTTTCAAATACTGCATTTTTCAGTTCTGCCCTCGGGGCCTTTGCAGAAATGCCCCTGGTACCGTACATGTCACCGGTACTTATACCGGCTCCCCGTACGGTACGGGGGCCAGTCTCRTACCAGTTCTCTGCTGCTGTACTCGTACTCAATGTGACTTGCTGTTTCGACATTCGGAATCCAAGACTTCGACTTGGTGCCTGGCCACTGTGTCTGTGTCCGATCCTCAGTCCGAGTCCGACGTGTCGAGTGAGTGAGTGTGTGTGTGTGCTCTCGCTCTCTCCCTCTCTCTCCTCTCCCTCGGCTCACCCTCAGCCTCACACTCGTTACAGGAACTGATTGATACAGCTCCTCAGGTGGTAGCAGAATATGAGAGGAAGCTGAAAGGGGAGGCACCTGCGAAGTAAGCATCTCAGCGGACTTTCGAAGCTAAGGGAGATGGAATGTGAGGATTGAGCCCTCAAGAAGGGGCCTTGCCATGATGTACATGTTCTGGGCTAAGGCCCCAGCAAGCCTCGTGCCCGCCCTAAGTGAAGGCGGGCCAGCAAATCAACAAGAGCCCTCTGTGCGAACATTTCACGAAGTGGGGTCCATACAGTTGCAGCACGCCAGTTGGTTGGAGTGCACCTAGTCTCGGATCTCTGCAAATGTGGAAATCCCAGGGCCTCTGAGTTAGTTAGGCCCTGGGCACTTGAACGTGAGGCCGACAATGCATGCTGGGTAGAGAGGCCGAAAATGCCAAAGGGAAATCGGCCCACTATCTGAATCTGACCACAGGCCTTGATGAAAGAGGCGCAACTGCATGCCCTGGGCCTCAACTGTATCGGGCCTGGGTTCAGCCACTGGAGCCCAAACGCAGGCTGGAGGGAGGCCGCCCACACGCAACACTGGCATATAGGCAAGCAGGGCGAGTGGGCAAGGATCTTGGCCAGTGCGTGCAATGCCGGCATGCTGCGCGAACGCGAGCTGCTGTGCTGCGCTAAGGCTGAGGGAGCAGGCTAGCRCTAAAGCGGTAGGGCGCTGCCTGTGTGCGCAAGGCGCTGGCRGCCATAGCCGGGCTGCCTGAGGGCGCAGAGGAGGTGAGGGCGAAGGTGGTTCTTCGGAGGTGAAGGGCGCTGTGTGGGATAACAGGGGAGAGTGTGGGTGAAGAGAGGAGACGTACCTGGTGGAGGTGGAGGTCGGCATTGGAGTTGACATCATCACTCGCGGGTTGTCAAGTTGTCTGGTTGCTTTCATTGCTGTAGTTGTAGGCTTAGGCTGTAGAGTAGATAGGGCGCCTGGCGCCATTCACAAGAGAGAGCTACATTGGGTTATGCTGTTGGTGTTGCCCTGTTGGGCTTGGACATTGACTCACGATTCTTCTGTATCATTCTCAAATGGATGGTTACTCGGTTCCATTGTGCTATCTGCTCTGGCTTTGACTACTTGGACTCAAGTGTGATTTTGCAATCTGGATTTCTGTGCTTCGTCCATACTCATGTTCCTTGCAGAATGGACTGTTTCTCCAAAACATCACAATCCTTTTTTTTTTTCAATCTAACATGGTTCATTGACAGCCACAGAAAACTCGGGAAAGTTCGGTAGAATTTGAAGACTGTTAGGGGATATTCACACCAGGACTTTTTCTACTAAGCTCTGGATGTGATTGCAGCCAGATTCATCAAGGTGTGGCCGTAATTGCAGTCATATACATTTAGAAAAGTTCTAGTGTGAGTATGCCCTTAGACAATTTCAAGTGAACTAGCAATATCCCCACCAGCTAGCTACAGGAAACCAGTTGACCTCCTCCAAATTATACTAGCCTGATTGGTCACGACAAAATAAATAAATTAGAAATGAAGCGAAATTGATGAAATAGAAAGTGTTGAAGCGCGTGACAATGGCGCCATTTCACGTTCATGTGGCAGGTTAATCACTCACCCTCATTTGCGACGGATACGCCTCTGGATCTGATGGTGAAAGAGGCCCTCATAACTGACACCATTATGCTTGTTCGGATCGATCCAAAGGAAATTGTTCGGTCGAAGATGGAAGAGAAGGAAGGGACAAAGAGTCGATTGTATGGAGGCGGACACTACGGGCAAGATCTGTCTTCATCAGCAATTACAGCAAGAGGGAAAGAGAATTCCGCAGATGCTGCCGAGCCAGCAAACGCCAAAGCGAACACGGATGGGCAGGACGCGGATCGCCAAGCGCAGTGGCTGGAAGACGAGGGTAGTAGTAGTAACTTAAGGGAAAAGTGGATGGAGAAGGTCCTGGAGGCCCGGGAAAAGTACGAGGCCAAGCACAAAGGTAATTACGTCAGAATCTATCCGCCGGATAATCCTAAGTTGGCTGAGAAGTATGAAAAGATATTAGAGGGATCGAGGATCTTGTTCAAGAAATCCTTCGAGGTAAGAGTCCGAGATGCAATCGCCAGATTGTCAGAAGACAGAAAAAAGAGCACTGAGGCAGTTGGCGAGCTGACACCGAAAAGACATTGGAGGGCAGCTGGAGTAGCGAGCTCGAAACCTTGGCCGAAATGGGAGAAACCACAGCCATCGGCCAATGGAAAAGCTATCCCGAAGCAACTCAAGGAGAACATGGGTAAGGAGGTGCAGCTGCTGCAGCAGCAGAGTAACACCGACAAGAAGCTGGATGGCAGTGCCGAACCACTGGATCAGGGAAGTGAGGGGCAAGGCCAACAAGGTCCAGCGAGTTTCGACAAGAGCAACCAGAGAAAAACTGACTTGGTAGAAGACAGAAACCAACCTGGTAAGCCACCCGATCCTTTGAACGGGCAAACAAATGCCGAAGCTTCCGGAGAGCAGCAGACATTGTCATGTGATATGCACATCGTGGATTCTGGAAGTGTTAACCATTGTGAAGGTGATTTTGCAACACCCACAAAGGCCGATGATGTTCCACCAAACAGATGTGCAGAGCAAACGGTTATTTCCCATGGAAATGCACCTGCAGGAGGATCATGGAAAGGGAAGAACAAGACACCGAGACGCATTCACACAGCGGCGGGTGAGCTGGCAGCTTTAGCTTCTGGTTCTCTGGAAGTTTTGCGACAACAAGAAATCAACTTTGAAAACCTAAGGTCCGTTGGCTCCACCCTAACGTCGTTTTCTTACCCTTGTCCTTTCATTACTATCTCGTGCATATCCAGTCGGGACACACCAGGTCCTGACACTTCGACAAACATTTCTCGAGTAGGCGAGAACCTGATCAATGTTTGTGCTGCTGATAGGATATCGACTCACAGCTGGAAGTCAGAAAAGAGTGGCTCAAGCAACCGAGAGCGCAGCAATGTGATTTTGAGCACGATAGTGAGAGATGAAGCTTCAGATGGTGTCATTTCCTCGGTATCCGATGTTATGCCGAAGAGAAAGGGTCCAGCAAGGCTGCTTTCGACCCTAAGGGTAGCACGGTCGCATACCCACGGCGGCGATGAGAATGCGCACCTTGTTCTTACTGGGAATGGGCTTGGGGGCCCGGTGCCGGTGATGTCATCCACCGTTGACCAGTCTCATCCTCATGAAGCCGGGTCGAACAGTGTGATGTGTTGCGAAGGATCAACAGTCCCAGCGCTCGATGGTAATAATAAGCAAGAAGTCCAGCCGCAAACCGTCATACGAAGCCATCCCAAGAAAGTGCAAGTGGGACGCGAACTTCATGAAGACGAATCCCAACACAGGGGGCATCATCCCTTTGGCAGAACAGGTTCTGAAGACCCCCTGTCTGAGGGGATAAGGGCAGAAGCGAAGCCGTCAAGCCGACAAAGAAGGATCAGCTTGCGGGAGTCCAGATGGAACAGCTGGGAAGCACCGCCGCCAGTCGACCCAACTTCCTTTCCATCGCTGCGAGTCCCGGAGAAGGAACGCTCGAGAGCAGAAGTGCATGAGGATCTAATGTCGGGTTCTGTGGGCCCATTAGATGTTAGGGGCCTAGCTGGGGGGGGGGGGAATGAAGGCACGGTAGACATAGGCGTTGTGCGGCAGCAGAGGAATGCTGCGAATCTGGTCAAGGAGAATCGGCGGCACAGGTCAGGTCTTGATCGGGTGAGCACGTCCCGAAGAGAGGGTCGTGTGACACAGGCAAAGGTTATCTTGGACCTGAAGAGCATTCCTGTTAAGGACTTGAGGGTGGGTCCGGTGGGACTGCAACAGGTCCGCACTCTGAAAACCCATGCGAAAAACTAGAAGGAAGGCGGAGAAGGCATCTTCTTCCGCGAACAGGGCCAACAACATATTAACCCTTAACGTCGTTAAGATGATCATCAAGATACGTTGTGCACTACGGAGCCAAATTGAATGGCGTTTACGGCTTTAAGGGTTGATTTACCATCTTCACCCAAATAGAAAGCCAGGTCATTACAGCTGCATTTGGGGAAACTTTCACTCTAGGTACAGCGATAATGACCGGGCGTTCTTTTCAGGTGAAGACCGTAGTATTTGGGTTGCCAGGTAAAGTTCGGCAACGAGTCCCTGGTTCAGTTCTCCATTGAATTTCTCTATAATATATCTCAATTTTCAAGTAAAGTCAACGTCTTCGAGCTGAGCCTCATGGAATTCCCAGTCGCACCGGAAACTTCGTGCGAGAGTGCAATGAAACTTCCTAGTACTTGCAATGGGTGGAAGTTGTCAGGCTGTCTAGTAACGATCTTTGCCGTGGTATTGAAGTTTCGGAAATGGCGGACGGAAAAAAATGCATTTTAGTATTTTACACCCTTGACATGATCAATGGATTGTTCATTTTGATTTGAACAATCTTAAACCAATGGCCAGTACTTGGCCCAGCTATTGGCCGCGGAAAAACATAGAGTAGAAACGTTTCTAGTCGGATGAAGTTGGGCACTCGTGTAGTGGCCCGCACGTTTCCTAAAATTGTGGCTTGTCAACGGGCACAACTTTAGGAAGTACTGGTGGTTTAATGTAACGGAAATCGCATTGCCAATAAAAAAAGGATGCAGTCCTCAGAGTGCAGTAGTAGGCTTTTGAATAAGTTCCTCATGTCCTGTCTCCAAGGCTTCGGCCAGCTAGCCAGCCAACCAGGGATCAGCACGAGGCTCACAGCTCTCTCTCTCTCTCTCTCTCTCTCTCTCTCTCTCTCTCTCTCTCTCTCTCTCTCTCTCTCTCTCTCTCTCTCTCGCAGACACGCACTCGCACACACACACACCCCTGATGAGTCGGAGAAAGTCCGACAAGACAGTCTGCCACAGTCATGCGTTTCTTTGTGGAGTTGTTTATTATAGCGAATGTGACAACACACGTGCATGCCTGCTTGGATGCCTTGCAGCATGCTGAAGGTATGAGTGAACAGTGGCGCATGGCCATTGGCCCCACGTTTCCGAAGGCTAATGACTTTGCTCCATGATCTGATTTGTAGACCACTTGTGGGACCATTTTAGTAGGAGTGGGGGAGGGGACAAAGTGCAATGTTTTTGCCCTTAACCTCTTTACTAAGGAGGTATTCACACGGGGAGAAAATAGACTGAATTTGGCCTAGACTTGAGCCCTTATATATTCAGCATAGTCCTCACGTACGGTGCAAGGCAGTGCTGGAGGTTATCTTTTGAAATCCCCTCACGACTGCCAATCTTACTCACTAAGGACATATTACACAAATTTGGTCTTCCAAGAGTGCATCCGTGTTCACACTTGAGGCCATACTCTCACTAGGACCCTCTTAAGATGCATCCGACCCCATGCACAGCCAGATTGTTAAGGCCATACTCGTCTCAACTCGAACCTTTTGAAATCAACCAGGACCCATGTATATCCAGATTGTCCCCCAAAAGTATAAGTGTGATTTGGCCTAACCTCCCAGCGACTCTGCACGATTTCGAGATAAACAACATTGGTGAATTACTGCGCACATAGGCCCTATGGATGGCATCCAGAAGAGAAAGCCTCAGAAAGGCGGCGCAGCAGTCCAACGGAAGCTACTGATGCCGTGCTCTGCCTGGTCGCTGACTACGGTGCTCATGTTAACTATCATGAAGTTCAACCCTTTTTTTGGGGGGGTAACTAGGGCGCAGTCAAGAAAGCAGTTTCTAAATGCATTTCAAACTGTTTTTTTTTTGTTTGTTTGTTTTCTTTTGTTCAGTTTTTTTTTTTTTTTTTTTTTTTTTTTTTGTTTTGCAAAAGCCCTTTTGTAAGACCACTATCCCGGCAGTGGTAAGAGAACTGCCGGAATTGAGGCCTTGGCTGTTGGGCTGCTCCATCTATTGGTGGGGACTGACACCTGCGGGAAACCGGGTCCAGCGTCCCTTTAATACTTCAATGCTGGTCAATGTTGAGGCTATAGTCATTGTTCTATTCTACGCTGGAGCACCCAGTAGCCCTTGGAGCTCCAAATTGTCCCATTCCCGTTACGGGGCTCCGACTTAACAACTGACCCAGCCCCCACCTAGAAGTTGACAACTATCTTCCTGAGACTACTCCCAGGTGTCCACAGCCCCCCTGTATCATCTTGGCTGATCTATGCTATCTATGAAGAATTCTCAGATAAATGCAGATATAGCAGATGGTTCCTGCTATGATGACGCTGTTCCGTTATGCTGTATGCTGAAGTGGTGTCTGGCCAGGCCGAATATGGTAGATGTGTGGCACCCTGGCACAGGGGCCAGGCTCTCAAACCCCTTTTGCAGGTCCAGTATCCCGACTGTGGTAGGAGAACCGCCCGAAATGAAGGCTTAGCCAGTGAGCTGCTCCATCTATTGGTGGGGAGCGGCAGCTGCTGGAAACCGGGTCCAGCGTCCCTTAAGAAACAGCAATGCAATATCTCAGGTCGGGGTCACAGCCGTTAGTCATGTAGTCACTGATCTATTTTTTGCCAGGGCTGCAATATAAAACCCTTCCCCTAATTGAGCTTTATCTTTAGTCCCTGTGGCTTCCCATGCCGGATGCATGAAGCCCCTTTTTTTGGCCCATGTTTCATATCGGCGGTTCCACCTTGTCACGTATTCAGAGGTGGTTGCCGTTTCCCTTGGGAACAAAAGTAAAGAGCTCGGAGAGGGGAGAAAAGTCGTTCTCCTTCCCCAATGAAATTCTATCAGACTCCTTCATACCAACTTTTAAACCTTGAACTCTTCGGTCTTTCAGACCGTGGCCACTGTCTTCAGGCCGACGTGTTTCCCTCCTTTGGGTCCGGGTTCGTTGCAGTTTGCCTTTGCGTCTCCCGGCCACCAGTCCCCTGCAGTTGTCCCAGTGCCTCCCACAGTCTGAGGCGTCATTCCCATTATTCCCATTATCCCCTGCAGGCAGTTGGAGAAGGGGGGGGG